TGATGCAGTGGCTCAGGGGTTAGAAGGTTGCTGGTTCGAATCCCAGGTGGATCAGTTGGTGTTTCTGTGTGGAGTTTGCATGTTCTCCCCGTGTTGGCGTGGGTTTCCTCCGGGGTTTTCCGGTACAGTCCAAACACATGCACTATAGGAGAACTGATTAACTAACTTGGCCGTAGTGCATGAGTGTGTGTGTGTGTGAATGAGTGTGTATGGGTGTTTTCCAGTACTAGGTTGCAGCTAGAAGGGCATCCGCTGTGTAAAACATATGCTGAAATAGTTGGCGTTTCATTCCACTGTGGCGACCCCTGATGAATAAAGAGACAACACCGAAGGAAAATGAATGTTGTGATGCTTAAAATGATTAGATCTGGCAACACAAAGACGCGGCAGCTGCACCAGCGCCCTCTACAGACATTCATTTACTCTGCGACAACATTTATCAATCATAGAGCTTTAAATGTTATTTTTAATATACAAAAATACTTATGTTCAAGCCTGTCGATGTCCATCAGTCTCCAATATAACTCATAATATCGTTTTTTTTATCGTTGTGTTCAACAGAATAAAACAACCTCATGTTTGGGTGTACTGGCCCTTTAAATAATCAAAGCGTTATCATGAAGCAGCTTTGAGTAAATCAGCTTGCTGTCCAAACTTTCAGAACACACACACACACACACACACACACACACACACACACACACACACACACACACACACACACACACACACACACACACACACACACACACAAAGGCATGCATTATTCCCCTAAATTCCTCAGGAAAACCCCAGATATGTACAGACTTAAACAAACAGGCCTCAGAACACAGACCACAGGCTTTCTGAAACCCACAGCCAAGATGAATAAGAAATGCGTCATACACTCACTACAAAAAACTCTGATATCACGTTATTTTGATGATCCCTTTTGCTGAATTTAAGTTACATTGCATCTACATGCCAGCTATTTCTCACTGGATTATAAGTAGACTGTTGGAGTTAGTGTAAGTTGACATGTTCTTGCAAAGTGTCTTATAGTCAGTGAAATGTCTGTTAAAGGAGCAGCATCAGCAGATATTAAGCAGACAGTCTACTAATACCCTATTGAGAAGTCATTGGCATAGCCGCAATGCAACTTTTAGTCAACAAAATGTGCAGTTGGGGGCGTCACGGTGGTGCAGTGGGTCGCCTCACAGCATGAAGGTCGCTGGTTTGAGCTTGCCGTTTCTGTGTGGAGTTTGCATGTTCTCCCCATGTCCTGCTCTGGTTTCCCCCACAGTCTAAACACATATAGGGGAATTGGGTAAGCTGAATTGTCCGTAGTGTATGTGTGTGAATTAGAGTGTATGGGTGTTTCCCTGTACTGGGTTGCAGATGAAAGGGCAAAACATGCTTGATAAGTTGGCGGTTCATTCCGCTGTGGCGACCCCTGATTAATAAAGAGACTAAGCTGTAAGAAAAATTAATGAATGAATTAAATTCGTGCAATAGTAATGTCAAAATAAAGTCTTAGCAAAAATGTTTCTATTTTAAATGCTTTTTTTCTAGATCAAATATCTAAAAAATATCTTAATATTATTAATATTTTACATTAATATGTTTCAAGCAAACTGACTTAATTGTAACTTGCTGTTTTCTCCTTATTTTTTTATTGGTTTAAGATTTTTTTAATGTTTACATATGTTTTATTATGTTCACATATATTTAGACTACAATCAAGAGAAAACCTACAAAAGAAAATTTACATTTTTATTTTATTTTTAATATTTATATTAAATGCATATTATTATTTTATATATTTGTGAAGTTAAAAAAACTCCTGAGTCTAAATACTAGTGTTTTTGAACCATATTATAGTGTTATACTGTATATATTATAATATCTACAACTCTTTTATGAATGCTCCAGCATACTGTAGTATTAACCATAGTGAACTGATCAACTGTACTGTAATATACATTCGTTTTTACAGCAGTAAAATGTGGTGTATGGCAGTATAATATACACTATAGTGGGAGAAAATTGCAATATTGGCTTGTTTGTTGATCTTACTTTAGTTGTTTTGTTACCATAGCAACTGTAGAATCACCACAACAGATCAATTACTGTAGTTGTTGTGTTACCATAGCAACTGTAGAATCACCACAACAGATCAATTACTTTAGTTGTTGAGTAACCATAGCAACTGTAGAATCACCACAACAGATCAGTTACTGTAGTTGTTGTGTTACCATAGCAACTGTAGAATCACCACAACAGATCAGTTACTGTAGTTGTTGTGTTACCATAGCAACTGTAGAATCACCACAGCAAATTAACTCACGTACTTTACTACAGTATGGTTCACAATCACTATAGTAGTTATTATAAATGAGTGTAGTATATATTTGTCTCAAACCCAGCATCCCTCCCTACATTTCACTGCTTCCCATTCACTATCCTTCTAACCCGCTCTTCCCTCCTTGAATCGTGGGGTCCAATCACTCTTCTAAAATACTACATCATACCTAGGATACCTGATCAACCTACCTACCTGTTCACAGTTCATCCTCTTACTTCCCTTCCCCTTCATCCCAATGTTCTCTTACCATCCCTTCTATCCCCACAACACAGTCTAGCTCAGAGTGTGTCGTGCTCCATGCTGCTGAAATGTACAGTATAGTAATGCTGACAAACAGCACTGCGTGAGTTACGAGCGCCATCTAGCGGTGCTGTGCTGAGCTCTTCTTCATTTTATATACAGTTGAAGTCAGAATTATTTGCCCCCCTGAATTATTAAACCGCTTGTTTCTTTTATTCCTGATTTCTGTTTAACGGAAAGAAGATTTTTTTTTCAACACATTGCTGAACATAATAGTTTTAATAACTCACTTCTAAAAAATTATTTATTTTATCTTTGCAATGATGTCAGTTAATAATATTAGACTAGATATTCTTCAAGACACTTCTATACAGCTTAAAGTGACATTTAAAGGCTTCACTAGGTTAATTAGGTTAACTAGACAGGTTAAGGTAATTAGACAAGTTATTGTATAACAGTGGTTTGTTCTGAAGATTATCGAAAAAAATATATAGCTCTAAGGGGCTAATAATTTTGTCCCTAAAATGTTGATTAAAAAATGAAAAACTGATTTTATTCTAGCCGAAATAAAACAAATAAGACTTTCTCCAGAAGAAAAAATATTATCAGACATACTGTGAACATTTCCTTGCTCTGTTACACATCATTTGGGTTATATTTAAAATAGAAGAAAAAAATTCGAAGGGGGCTAATAACTTCGACTTCAACTGTATCTTGATTTTTTTATTATTATATATTTTTATGTCATATAAATATTATATGATATAAACATTATTCTATTTATTATATGATATTAATATTTATATCATATTATATTATATATTTTATTTATTACATTTATAACACAATCACACACACACACACACACACACACACACACACACACACACACACACACACACACACACACAAACACATATATATATATATATATATTTATAACATATTTGATTTAAAAATTATGTTTTATTAGACAGATTTTTAGACCGACAAATAAAAAAAAGAATTAATTATAATATTAGAAATAATAGACATATCAGATTGTTCGACAAGAATACAAAAACACACAGCTAATGTATAAACCCTATAACAACAAACAATAGAGAACAGAGCATTCTGAAGAACAAAATGCCATGGGGGGATACAGAATTACAACAGTACATATAAAGGCCCCTTAAAGAACGGTCACAGTCACATGCAAAAGGTCACAGAGAATACAGTCAACTGCGATTACAGAAAAGAGACCATAATAGAAGATTCACATCATGTTTAAATTTTGTATTTTCGTATTTTAAAGCTTTAACATTGCTGGAGACACCCACCCACACACACCCACACACACACACACACACTCACACACTTTTTAAAATTAGAACGTTTGACAAGAATATAAATATATACAGCAAAGACATCGTTAAGTGCACATTATTAGCTCTTAATTCTCTGAGCACTTGCAGTTCCTCTGTGTTATGATCACTTGTGTTTTGCCTTTTCTAGCTGAATTGCTGAAATGCACCTGCTAAATGACTGAATGTTGATGTCAGTTACAGAAAGCAGGCTGTATTATAAGATAACGTTATTTACATGAGCTGTTTTATAAGATTTAAAGCTTTAAGATTTTGCTGGAGGCACACACAATACATTTATTATTATTTAATACTTCATTTTTATTAGAATCGTCAATAATATATATATATATATATATATATATATATATATATATATATATATATATATATATATATATATATATATATATATATATGCCTAAAACAGCAATGCAAATATGTAATTACATATTATTATATAAACAGTTAATTCTCTGAGCACAAACAGTTCTGTTGTATAATGATCACTTCTCTATGGAAGCCCGTTCCCGCCCCTGAATGATAAAGAAAATTAATAATTTATATAAAAAAATTATAATAATATTTAAAAAAAATTATCAAGTCAGAATTCGGAGATATAACTCGGAATTGCGACTTAATAACTCAGAATTACGACTTTTTACATTTTATATATATATATATATATATATATATATATATATATATATATATATATATATATATATATATATATATATATTTTTTTTTTTTTTTTTTTTTTTAAATTTTTTTATTAATTCTTTTTTTATCATTCAGTGGCGGGAACGGGCTTCCAAACTTCTCTTCTTGTTTAATCCCAGAATATAAAATTATAAGATATATAAGAAATAAAATTCACAGTGTTATTGATTGTAATAAAGCTTTATGATTGCACACGCACACACACGCGCGCGCACACGCACAGCTTCCTGCTCAGCATCGTCACTAAGAGGAGGGACTTGCCTTTTATGGATTCTTTGCACAATACCTCACTTCCTCAGCAGAAACACACACTCACACACACACACGCACACACACTGAGGACTGAAGGGCTCCAGAGGAACAGGGAAGCGGTCAGCTGGAGCTCCTCTGCGGATCCTCCATGGCTCAGGCAGCGGGCGCCGCGGACTCGGATCCGGCCAGCAAGCGCCTACACTCCAGGTAAGAGTCTGCGGGGCTCCGGGGGTCTGCAGAAGCGTCAGCGGGGCGACCTGGAAGCTCCGCCGGCGACGGAGGCCCTCCGCTCGGCTTGTAGACGTGGGCATGACGGTGCTGGAGACGGGCTGTCAGATCCAGCGCGCAGATTTGTAGAAAACAGACCTTCTATATCTTCTCAAACCACACACGTGTGCGCTCGGTCAGAGGGGCAGTTCACACAGAAATGTCATTAGAGCAGTCTCAAGTGCAGAGCTCAATGAGGGGTTTGTCCTTTCAACACAAGAGAAGATACTCTGAAGAATGTTGGAAACCGGTAGCCATTTATGTTTTGATTTAAGCCATGCCATGAATGTGTGCGTGTGTGTACTGTGTGTGTATGATTATATATATATAAATATATATATATATATATATATATATATATATATATATATATATATATATATATATATATATATATATATAAATATATATATATTTCTTCTGTTGAAGGACATTTGCATGTTCAGCCTTGATGTTTGCAGTTACACAGAACATTTAACACCATTCAGCAGTGGCGTTTCCTCCAGTTCTCTTGCTGATGATGTTGTGCATGTGCTCGTCCTTCACTGGGGGAGTTTAGTGACGGATGAGTTTGTAAAGAGAAACATCTGCTTCTCCTGTTCCCGTCAGTGGTGAAGCCACAACTGTCTGACGCTGTGCTTCTGTGCCATGTGGAGCGGTGTGTCATTTAACCCTCCTGCTGACTTATGGGTCAAAAATGACATCATTTAACCCATGTGTGCTGTTGGGTCATTTCCATGCACTGTGGGCTGACTTTAAGGCTTAATTTGGCTCTGTTTCAGCAAATGTGATGATTTTAAATCTTGTCTTGACGCATATTTTGGGAAAATGCTTTGTAATTGATAAACTCATCAACACACTCAGATTGACTCCCCTTTGGTGATGTTCGGGGCTGTTTTTGCCCCATTGACTTGCATTGTAATCACATGTATTTGATTGACAGAGCCATATGATCGTGCATTCTTGAGTGCTGCTGGTTTTTAATGATGTGAAGAGGAATCATTTGTCATTTGCACTGTTAATCTTAGTTTTCTTTAGCCATTGAGCGCTTGCTTATTACTGGATTGGTGGTTCATCAGCTTCTGTTATAGCTTTTGTTTTACATATTCATCAAAAATAAAATGTAATGGTTGTGCTGGATGTGACCCTGGGTCACAAAATAACCAGTAGTAAGGGCCAATTCTGATTTATAAGCTGCGTACGTAAGATTTGCATTGATGTATGGTCTGCTATATTTGGCTGAGATGCTACTATTTGGAAATCTGGAATCTAAGGATGGGGCTTTATTCATTTCCCTTCGGCTTAGTCTTTTATTTATCTAGGGTCGCCACCGTGGAATGAACCGCCAACTATTCCAGCATATGTTTTACACAAAGGATGCCCTTCCAGCCGCAACTCTGTATACTTTCATATACATTTCAATCTCTTTTTCTAGCCCTGTGAAGAGAGCTTTGCTTTTTGTCTGGATGCTTTTAGAAAGGTGGCACATTGGCTCAGTGGTTAGCACTGTGGCCTCAGCTGTGTAAAACATATGCTGGAATAGTTGGCGGTTCATTCCGCTGTGGTGGCCCCTGATGAATAAGGGACTGAGCCAAAGTGGATTCAATTTGAGGATTCAAAAAAATCTTCATATTGAGAAAAACGTGTTTATAGTTGTGCAAGTTGATATCTTAGCAGTGCATATTACTAATAAAAGATAATGTTTAGGAAATTTACTAAATCTCTTCATGGAACATGGTCTTTACCAAATATTTAATTGATTTTAGTCATTTAAAAAGTTCTAGGGCTTGCTCATATAATTGGCTTTTCCTACAAATACACTACAGGTCAAAAGTTTTGTGGTCATGTTTTTTTTCATGTTTTTATTTAAAGAAAATCATGGCATTTATTAAATGTAAAAAAAAAAAAAGTTAAATTGTTAAAGATTTAATAAAATTTTAAAATACTGCTTTCTTAATGTATGCAGTTTCAAATGAGATTATACCTCCAGTCATATTGGGTTAATTAGTTTTTCATTAATAATAATAATAATAATAATAACAATAGTAATAATTAATATTAGAGTGATTTCTGAAGGATTATGTGACTGAAGACTTGAGTAATGAAGCTAAAAATGCATCTTTAAAATCCCTGCAATAAATTATTAAATTAAATTATAAACTTCTTTTGAACAGTAATTTACTCTGTTTCTGATTAAATAAATGATGCGGTGGCGCAGTGGGTAGCACGTTTGCCACACAGCAAGAAGGTCTCTGGTTTGAGCCTCGGCTAAGTCAGTTGGCTTTTCTGTGTGGAGTTTGCATGTTCTCTCCGTGGGTTTCCTCCAGGTGCTCTGGTGTCCCCCACAAGTCCAAACACACGTGGTACAGGTAAATTGGGTAAGCTAAAATTGACCATAGTGTATGAATGTTTCCTAGTGATGGGTTGCGGCTGGAAGGGCATCTGCAGTGTAAAACATGTGCTGGATAAGTTGTCGGGTCATTCCGCTGTGGAGACCCCAGATTTATAAAGGGACTATGCTAAAAAGAGAATAAATGAATGAATGAATGAATAAATGCAGCCTTTACATTAAAAACTCCAACTGAGCCCCAACTTTTGACCGGTAGTGTACCTGTGCAACGTAAGACACAGTATATATATGCTCTTTACCTCAACCTCATCACACAATGATTTAATTTATAACCAGTGTAGTTCTAACAGTTAACGAAGTGAGCGGAAAACATCCTCACGCTCACAGCGTTTACAGTCAGTAGTGATGTGCTTTGTGTCAACAGTGTTTTCTATATGGACTGTTTTTAATCATAACAGGGTTTAAAGCCAGCGTCAGTGCAAATGTAACCCAGCTCGCATTATTCCTGTGTTTAAAGGAACTCTTATAGAGGTCTGGGCTAAAACAAAGCTAGATTTAGGCTGTCGGTGATAATCGAATGGATGAATCGCTCAGAACTAGACTGGGATGAATGTGTGCACGTGTCAAGTCTGTCTAATCTGTGTGTTTTTAATAATTAATAGTCATCAAGTAAAGTATTTGTCTTTATAACACGTGGAAAACATTGCAAGTTTGTTGTAGGTCATTTTAAACTTTGCATTGAATTTTTGCATGTTGTTTTCTGTTTTCTAAAACAAATCTATAATCTAGAATAAATATATCCCTATAAATCTATAATATTGGCAGATGCAAGGAATTTGATGGCTATTAGAAAGTGCGGCTGTAGTTTTAGATTGCCTTTATCGTCTTTCTCACAGTCTTTCAGAAATCTTAAGACTTTTCTGGATCTTTTCCAAGTTTATTTCCAAGTTTTGCTCTATTCACAATAATTATTATGACCTGATGATTAAATCAAAAAAAGGTAAGGATTCGCACTTTTTAAATAATAGCATTAATAAGATTGACGCACCAAACCAAAGAAGTTCCTAAAAAAAAAAAAAAAAAAACGCTAGCATGCAGGTCAAACTTCAGTAACTCTACACTAATGATTAAATCCAACATGTGTTAAGGTTTAGTGTGTATGTATAGGGATTCAGTTGTTGTGTATTTAGGAAATTTGCTCTAGTTGTCATTAGGATGGAAAATATTCATAGACCTGGCAACCCTGAACATTTAAAACTCATCATTTATTCTTTCTCAGGTCCACATTTGAGTTTCTATGTTGTGTAAAGGTGCTGAAAATCAAATCTATAATAAATATTATCTATATAAATCTATAATATTGTATTGTATTGCTCTATTTCACAATACTTATTATGACCTGCTGATTAAACCAGACATAAGTTATGTATAGGGTATTTAGGAAATGTGCTTTAGTTGTCATTAGGATGGAAAATGTTCATAGACCTGGCAACCCTGAACAAAAATAAAGGCACAGTTCACTTAAAACTCATTATTTATTCTTTCTCAGGTCCACACTTGAGTTAATATGTTGTGGTTAGGTGCTGAAAAACAAATCTATAGGCTTTAATAAATATTATATATAAATCTATAATATTGGCAGATGCAAGGAATTTGTTGGCTATTAGAAAGTGCGGCTGTAGTTTCAGATTGTCTTTATCGTCTTTCTCTCAGTCTTTCAGAAATCTAAGACTTTTCTGGATCTTTTCCAAGTTTATCTCCAAGTTTTGCTCTATTCACAATAATTATTATGCTCTGATGATTAAATCCGACATTTATTAAGATTTAGTGTGTATGTGTAGGAATTCAGTTGTTGTGTATTTAGGAAATGTGCTTTAGTTGTCATTAGGATGGAAAATGTTCATGGACCTGGCAACCCTGAACACAATTAAAGGCACAGTTCACCCAGAAATGAATATTTACTCATCATTTACTCTTTCTCAAGTCCACAATCGAGTTTCTTTCTACTATTGAATGCATAAGTAAATATTTTAAAGAGGGCGGCATGGTGGCTTAGTGGTTAGCACTGTCAAGAAGGTTGCTGGGTCAGCTTGTGTTTCCATGTGGAGTTTGCATGTTCTCCCCGTGTTGGCGTGGGTTTCGTCCGGGTGCTCTGGTTTCCCCCACAGTCTAAACACATGCGCTATTGGGGAACTGATGAACTACATTGGCCTTAGTGTATGAGTGTGTGTGAGTGAATGGGTGTGTATGTGTGTTTCCCAGTACTGGGTTGCAGCTGGAAGGGCATCCGCTGTGTAAAACATATGCTGGAATAGCTGGCGGTTCATTCTGCTTTGCAACCCTAATCAGGGACTAAGCTGAAGGAGAATGAATGAACTAATAATATTTTAAAAGATGCTGGAAAGCATTGACCTCTATAATAGGAAAAACAAATACTAGGAAAGTCAATGGAGTCATGTTTCCAACATTTTTCAAAATATCTTCTTTTGTGTTTAACCGAGGAAAGAAACTCATGACGGTTTGGTAAAAGTGAAGTGAGAGTAAATGATGTCAGAGTTTCTGTTATTCGGGTGCACTGTCCCTTTAAGCA